GGATCTGGTCTGTATTCATTCATGTATTGACAGTCTTTATCATCTCCATGCATTGTTTCTAGAATGGAGTGCAAGAACTCTATAATGCGAACAAGAATATTCTGGAATGCGCCAAGCATCTTGGATTTGAGGTCATTGACACTCTCAGCATCACCATGGGTCGGTATAAGGAGTTCCTGCAGGGACGATGTGCCTGCCATTTTCATGAGGTAAAAGAAAAGAGATTTACACTACCATTCAGGTCTGGGGTAAAAATGTATATTTTTATAAAGCGAGAACTCATTATAAAATAATGCAGCACTTCAGAAATTATTCCAATATTGCTGTTTTACTGTATTTTTTATGAAACAAATGCAGCCTTGTTGAGCATAAGAGGCTTCTTTCAAAAACATTACATAATCTTACAGGCCCCAGACTGTTCAATAGTAATTCTGAACTACTGTAAAAAAGTGTTATTCAATGATTTAAAATGAATGAAAGTCCAGTTATACTGATTAAAGGCCTGTCTCGCATAGACACTTCAATGCAAAAATAACATAACTTATTTTAATAACTCTGTTGTTAAACCAGGATGTGCTAATTCTGTAAATTTGTAGTTATATTATTATGGATATAATTTACTGCACAGAAGGCACAACTAATTGACATTGTATTTTTTAGATCCACACATACATGTGTGTGAATGAAACAGTTCTACCAATCACACTCCTATAGATCCCGCTTTTCCAGCCTTCCAGTCCCATAAATCTTTTACAAGAGAAGCCATTTCTTTTTTTACTTCACCCTAAATGTGATTTGCGGATCAGTTAATGAGTAATTAGCAATTAGGCAGGTTTTTATTAGCCAATAAAGAGCAGGTTGGGAACAGATGTATTAGGTCACTGAGTGTGTGAAGTGGTGGTAGAAACACCAAACCTGCTCACATATGGGACTGATATCACCGTGGAGCGACCACATCTGACAACAGACCAGCAGATTTAGACCAGACAAACTTAACGACAAGTAACATCAGGGTCTTTTGCTTAAGTTTTAAAGGAGCTTTTGTTTAGTCTTTGACTTTTTTGTTATTTAGTGCTCAGAGGAAACAAGTTCTTAACCGTTAAGTATTTTGTAAAGCAGGGAGCTAATAAGAATTGGCCATTTAAAGTGGATATAAAACGCAAATGGGATAAAAATGGGATTCCTAATTTTAAAAATGTGTCCCGTGTCAGAGAACGGAGCCACACACAGAGGTTATTTGCTTACACGATCAACATCTCTCATTCCCTGTGTACTGAGTGCAACAGTTGGGTTCTGGAAGTAAAAACTGTTTATTTACTCCATTAGGAAATTGATTTTTAACAATAACTTATGAACCATAAAGACAAACCTAATGTGAGCTTCAAAGTGGGTTAACTAATGGTTTATGCTTTTTTTGAACCCGCATTGATTTGTGACAAGCTATTTTTTCTGTATTCAACAACTTTGAATAAATACTTTTTTTCTCCATTTTTAATTTGCTTGTTGTTCGCAATGATTCATGGGATTGTAGTTTTTTTTAATGAAAACCTACCCCTTGTACCTTATACCTTTTTTTTTTTTGTCCAATTTTCAAATAGTTTTTTGCTTCAAATAAACTTTCCATTGTTGTGATTTTGTGATTCACCTCGTGGCTGGTTGGCTTGGTTCATGACTTCGATCGTTTCATCGCGTATAGGGCGACAACCTACGTCTGTGGTTGTCGGTTGTCGTTGTCGACAACCTACGACAACCAACCTGTCTGTGATGCTTCACGACATCCCAACAAAAAAGACTGCCATGTTTGATTTTTTTTATTGGTCGTCCACGACGGTTCCGTCACATGTATGAGGTTGACCAATAGGAGCACAGAAGCTTTTCCGTACACAACTTTCAAAAGTGGTGAAACGAAAGAGAGACGATGGTGCTAACGTTAAAACGAAAAGCAAAAATATATAAGAAAACAACATTTTACCTCAAGTTCTCTTTGGAGGCTTGACAGCTGTCCTCTTCGACCAATCCAGGAACCGGAACGTGTCCCTGGTTTTCTTTCTTTTTCACAGGACAGCCAATACAACACGTTAAAGACGGCACACGATGACTGGTCAGGAAGCAACGTATAGTCTGACGTGTCTTGTCCACGACACGACAAGATTTTAGGAGTCAAAATCGCACACAGTGACTATTGTAACAGGCAAAAAAAAAATTGTGTAATCTGAACCAGGCATTTCACACCTTATTCAACTCCTCACTTAATTAGTGAAGACTGCAAGACCTGAATTGGGTGTAGATAAGGAAGACGTACAAAATGTGCAGTGCTCCGGAGATGGATTTGAAATCCCCTGGCATAGATCATCGATTAGCCAAGATGATTCTTTGATGATCATTTTATTTTGTTTACAGGTCTATAAGCTTCCCTTTCCGACTGCTGCTTCCCAAAGACATTTGAAGATCTTGAAGCTTGGTGGAGAAAGCGGGAACCCAGCCAATGAGCAAACAGGACTTCAGAAGCACGAGGATCCATCGTCTCCACCTGACGTGTCCTACCACGTAAAGGGACCAGTGAACGCAGTGTACTCTGAGATCCTCCTCAGCAGGATATGTGAGAATCACGCCGTCAATCGGACCATTCGCCAACAGTGACAAAAAGACATTTAGCGGCTGGTGACGCTAACCTGTGCTTGTTGTTCAGGTGTGTTTGTGTGTGTCTGTATGAGGTGTGAATATATATTTGTGTGTGTGTGTGTGTGCGTGCGTGTGCTCAATATTGAGAAAGGGCTAAACTGCACACCGATTGGTCTAAATCTACTATATGCTGTATCAAAGGGGTAAATTGGATGGCGAGTTAGGTGTCTGTTTGTGCATGTGTGTTTCTGTGTAGAGCGATCCAGATGGAAAAGGGGTGTGGAGGGTTCAATGAGACCCCCTGAAGCCCTGTCAAAATGACTTTGGCAGCTGTGGCTTAAGGTGCAGGCAGTGATGAAAAAACTGTGAGACTGTCTTGCAGCCCCTTCAAACAGCCTTTCAAAAACGTTTCTACAACGCTCATGCAACATTCCCACAATTGTGCTACTGCTGAACCATTGGCTGAAATGTTCCCAATATGTTTTGGGAACATTTTGCAGCTGCTATGGAGTGCCTTTGATGTCACCCTGCTTCACATTTACACTTTTATGGAAGCTCGGGCAATGTTTTGAAGTCCAGCTTTACACCCCCTTTCCTTCACATGCCAGGTTCATCAAGTATTTATGAAGTATGTTCAATGCCAAAGGTCTTATGAAGTATATTTTATGTTGTAGTATTACTGTCTTATGTTCCTCACATATATTTCTACATTTATTTTTCGACCACTGTGTTTTCTAGTGCCTTTAATAATAATCTGCGTAAAATGTTCTAAATGCTGTTTACAAAAAAGAGTTTATTTATACTTTTTTGATAGTAAGAATTTTGATATTGTTGCTGGATTTACTCTTAATTGCTGGAATGCATGATGTTTCAGTTGTCCATAATTTATGTTAAACAGGAAGTGGTTTGTGGAGAGAAAAATTAGCAGGATTTATTTGAAATGTCTCATAAAACAACTTATCTTCCCATCAGTTACTTGAAGTAAAATAAATGAACCCATGAACCCGCATGAGTTGACACGTAAAGATTCCACAGCGCGTGATTACTCTCTTATTGACATTTTAGGGTCAATTTATATATGTTTTGAATCTGTCTGGTTGTAGCCTACATGAAATATGTGATTCCAACAATCAACATGAAATGTAACTTAACATCACAAACAATTAAAAATGTATTTTTTCATAATTTAAAAAATTGGTCCTTAAATTTATATTTTTTTTATGCATATTTAATTTGATTCTACCATTTAGGTCATAGGCTGTTTTAGCAGAAAAATAATATTTGACGTGTAGTCTAGTCCATGCAGACTTTGTTGCTGAAAAAATAGAGCTTTATTGTCGTTGTCAACAACCAGATTACAAAAAATCACCATGCTCAGCTCTATTCTTGATCTATTAAAAAATATATATATTTTGTTAGAAAAGAACCTTTTCTATTGAAATGTATTTAAAAAGCCTTTTAATAGCATTTTCATAGGCCTATTTATGACTATATAATTACATTTGTATCAACTTTTTACTTTAGACTAATGTTTTATTTTTATTGTTAATAATCTAATGCTTTTCATTTGTTGTGCCTTCATAGTAAGACAAGTCCCCCTTAATCGAATCCGGAATATGGTGGTTTCGACTAGGCTATCTTTATGAAAAATCATTAAAATATCAATAACTATGGGTGAAAACAAAATAGCACGTCAAAGTAACAAATAGCCTACTCTGTGCTCATTAATAACATTTACGCTAGTGGTTTTAGTTATTTCTGTTTTATTAGCAAAATCGAAATCCTTCCGAAATTACATGACATTTCTCTAACTTTCCAATTATGTCAAAATAAATAAATATAGGCTATAAATATTCACTCAATAACAAGTTAGATTTAAATGATTAATTTATGGAAGTTATGTTATAATTGTCGACGCTTTTGAAAGTCATTGCATAATTTGAAGACTGTGGGTAGTTATAGAATCTCAACATTTTTCATTTCAAATGGTTTTACCCTGTCTAAGCGTCAGAGTTTCTGTTCTTCTACCTTTTATGTCAAGCTTGTTTTTTAAATATATGTTAAATATGCTCAGTTAAATACTAAAGTCCTATTTATTCCTAACACAGTCCTTTCAATCTCACAAAAACCCGAGTGTCCTTGATTCTTTCTCGCTTTGCTCTCTCACCGATCTTCAAGCCAACATCGCTTGGTCCAATCCGTGTTAACAACGGTCGTACCTTCTGAATATTAATGAGCCTGTCCAACCAATCACGATATGGGAGCGCTGCACATGAGAGCGTTTAGTTGCGCGCTTTCCAACAGCAGTATATAACTGTTTGTGTCTATTTGAGTTCGCAGTGATGGTGAATGTGAGTGACTTCTTGGTGTTTGGATGTTTTTTTTTTTCTAACATGCGACTTAATGGATACATGAAAGGACTTGTGAATTTAAAAGCGCCGTTTGTGGATTACATACGCTAGATATTAGATGTAGTGGACCGGTATGAGTTGTCGTTGTTGTCCTAACGTTCAGTTCGGGACTAGTTAAATGAAGTGGACATGGATAATACCGGTTGTGGAATACATGCAATTTTTCATTTATTCATTATATGGCTCTCAGTGTGCCCTTTGTGCTCTCAGGGAACTTGGATGTAAGTATATAAGTGCTGTGCGGTCTTTACTGTCAAATAATGTTTGAATGAAAAGTTTGAAAATTGTCTCCTTTTCCTCGGGCCTGGTTATGGCATTTCAATCCAGGCCGACAGGAGAGGAGAACCGCTTCTGATCTTTGTGTCACACTCCGCATCACAGGTGGTTGGGCATCACATCTGTAGGAGTGCCCGAGAAGTTGGGTTGCGCGCATTTGCCCCTGTCGCACAAGCAGAAGGAGCTGTGCGCGCGCAAACCGCACCTTCTACCGAGCGTTAAAGAGGGCGCGCGCCTGGGCATCACCGAGTGCCAAACGCAGTTCAAACACGAACGCTGGAACTGCTCGACCCGACGGGACCCGAACGTGTTCGGCTACGAGCTCACCAGTGGTATGCATGTCACATCGAAATAGATTTATTTGAATGTCCATTAACTTTTTTTTCTTTTTTCTTTTTTAACTATGCAGTTAACTTTATTTATGAAAGTAAATAATACAAAGTTTGACCAGCACATCTTAAAGAAATCTTGATAAAATAGGCCTACTAAAACTTAGGGGGACAGAGAGGATTTTTTTTAACATTTTAAAAAAAGCGCGAATGAATTGATACATTGAAAAAGGTGGAAAAATCGCCAAACTTTAAACGTTTGATGATCACTGTATTGCTAGTAAATTATTTCTTTCAATAATATTATTCACCTTCAGATGTCAATAAAATTGTCTAAAAGCAGAAAAAAACAAATTCAAAATATGTAATGCATATGGTTACTGGACAGACACTTCAACTAAATATAATCAATATCTTCAATTGTCATGAGAAAAACAAGTTTCTGTTGTATAATGAGAGATCACCACTTTTGTAATTGTTTATCTGAATGTTTTTAATTGACTGTCAATCCTCTGTTTTTGAAATGCTGATTCATGTGTTGGATATTTTATTCATGGAACAACTGAACCCACAGCTGTTTTAGGTTAATCTCTTTACTAAATTTACTATGGTCTTCAGCTGGCCCTGAAATGCATACAGGATTAGAATGATTACAAAACAAAGATTCGATCTGACATGCGAGAACATGTTTCTTGATTTTTGTGAATTCAAATAAGATTTACCCCAAGTTTCTGTCACAGAGCAGTTCAAATCCAAGCTCGAGTCAGGGGGAAACTGAATCTCGTGTTGTATACATTTCCTGCTGCCACAACCGGGGTTTAGGGTTTAGAATTAGGCATGTCTACAAATATGCACTACAAATACAACAGTGTATTGTCTATTCTATTCTAATTTAATTATATTTCTATTGTAAATTTATTCCAGTTATTTAGACTTCTTGCTCTGTTAAGCTCATCTCCCTTGGAAGTAATAGAAAAAGATCATAGCAAATATTTTCTAGTAATTAAGACAAAGCCTACTTTGCTATGTTAAAGCAAATTCTTTTAGCAAATTTCTTCAGAAATTGTGGTATAAATATATATTTATGTTAGCTATTTATATTTCAAAGTTAGCAAGAACTGCACACATGATTTTATGAATAAAAATAGGCATGAAGTGATTTTTAATAAAAACTTAACTGAAAATAGATCTAAAATGATATTTACTGTGAATATTTTAACACAATCCATCCATGAAATGCACATCAGAGATATTTACTTAATGTGCAAAATGGTTACACTTTATTTTAGTGTCCTTGTTAAACATGTAGTTAACTGTAAGTTTTGCATAATTGCATGCAGCTAACCCTAAATGTGTAATTGCATTCTAACAAGGACACCTTAAATAAATTGTAACCCAGATTTTTTATAGCACCGTCTGTTCTCACCATAAAAATAAATACATAAATAAATAAATAAAAAACTTCAGCCAAACATTTCTATAGTCTGTCTGAATGCCAGTGACATTCCCAGACTCCTCTGCTCTGATACTGCTGCACTGTGAGACCCTTTTATCTTACATTCCCATATTTCCCAGTTTCAACATTTGTAAGTGCTGGATCGGCATCTTGCTTACATTCTCTTTTTTGTTTTTTAAGGGACAAAAGAGACAGCATTTATCTACTCTATAATGGCTGCCGGGCTGGTTCATGCAGTCACTCGCTCTTGCAGTGCAGGAAATATGACAGAGTGTTCGTGTGACACGAGCCTGTTGGGCAGCGGTTCGCCTACAGAGGGCTGGCACTGGGGTGGGTGCTCCGATGACATCGCCTTTGGTACACTGTTCAGCCGGCGCTTCATCGAAAATGCGGTAAAGAACACATCAGCCCGTGGTGAGGACGCCCTGCTCACTATGAACCAGCATAACAGCGAGGCTGGGAGACAGGTGGGTGACAGAACTAACCTTGTGCATTGTTAGTTATGGTAATGTTGAAAGAAAATGAGTGACTGCTCGCTTATTTTTTCCCTTAATATTCTCCTTAGAGATCTCAAAAAAGGCTTTACTAAGAAGTCATGGACTTAAACCAACCAACCCTGAGAGCAATAATAACATTCTAAACTTTATTTGGAACAAAAAAGTATTTTAGTGTAACAAATAGACAAAGGTACAAGTCTTTGTACTTAACGTCTTTTATGAAGGCATAAAGTAAAATCCCAAAAGTATGGCAAATGATGTACCGATAATCAGTTCACTATGCTTCATGGGAGTATGTGTCGTTGCTGAGCTCTCTTGCCATCATTTCGATTTCCATTTGTTCTCTTTTAAGATTTTTAAGTTGAAATCACACTGACTTGCAGCTTTTACAGAAGCATATGCCATTGCTTTATATACAGTAGTTATCATCAAATGATGGAGTAAATGGGATTTTTAATTCGGCATCGTGGTGGTTGCCCTTCATTGACACACTGAGAGAATTTTTTGCCTTTCCATTTACATTTTGAGTGACATATGTCAAGTTGAAGCATCAATTGGCATGTGATTTTGCTTGCCTGCTTCAAAAAGAAAGCAACAGAACTAGTGAGCTCTCTTAGTTCAGGGCTATGTTTCCCTATATAGATGCCAATTCACTCTAATTGGAGAAAATATGAAAGGTGTGATAGTCTCCGTTTATAAACAGCCTTGTATCATCACTAAAATTCAATATTGATGGTCCAACACAAGGTTTCCTCAATCACCTCGAGGTTTTATGCGAGACGACGAACTTGCATACTCTGTATTGTTTTTGACATTTAAAATATGAGTTTTCTCCAGCATAAATCTTTGACTTGTTCTAACTGACAACAGAAACTATTTCAAAACAACCAAATAAGAACAGAAATAGTAATGGGCTGCTTCAGCTCTAGCAATTTGTCATTCATATGAGTTACATCTCCCCACATGCTCTTGATTAATCTAAAAAGCTGATGATTTGCACCGAATTCCACAGCCTTGACTGAAGAACACTTGTAAGTGTTTGGAGACCCTAAACCACAGCTCTGGTTGGAAACCACCAAGGAGTGTTTAAGCTCGACAAAATTCCCCTCAAGTCAGCGAAGGGCCTCCGTAATCCTTCACCCAAACGAATGCTCCTATTTTATGATAGTCGTCTGCTCACAAAATACCCCTTCGACTTACATGGTGCAGGAAAGGAAGGACATCAAATCTCCATCCTTAAAAATTATATAGTCCTTGGAAATGTGGTTTATAGTCAACCTGGGTTAACTCTCCCAGAGATTTACATTAGTTCCGCATTTTTGCTTGAAGTCCAGGAAGTCTCAAAATAAATTGCGAAAATGTTGGAAGGCTGAAATTGAATCAGTTCACATGTCTGCATGCTTACAACAAGCTGCTCTCCTGATCACAGTTTCTTTCTGTTGTCAATCATTTATAATGCTCTCCGTATCCAATTCCTCGGCAGGCGGTGGCCAAAACGATGTTGACAGACTGCCGCTGTCATGGCGTGTCGGGTTCGTGTGCGGTGAAGACGTGTTGGCGCACAATGGCCCCGTTTGAGCGTGTGGGTGCCTACCTGAAGGAGCGCTACGAGACCAGCGTTCAGGTGGTGGAGCGCTCCAAGCGCAAGGTGCGACGTAAGGACAAAGATCAACGCCACATGGCTATCGAGAAAGAGGAGTTAATATTCCTCAACAAATCGCCAAATTACTGCTTGGAGGACCGACGGTTGGGCGTGACGGGGACCAGGGGCCGCAGGTGTAACAGAACTTCAGTCGGGCCGGACGGCTGCAACCTGCTGTGCTGTGGCCGGGGCTACAACACACACGTGGTACGACACGTGGAGCGCTGCGAGTGTAAGTTCGTCTGGTGCTGTTACGTTCGGTGTCGGCGCTGTGAGACGATGAACGACATGCACACTTGCAAGTAGAGCAACTACTTGGGGAGGGTTGGAAAGACAAGACCTCGTGAGAGGAAGTGGACCTTCTTTGCGCCGTTGGCCCTATCAAACAAGTACTGTATGTTGACAAAATATCCATGGCAACCAGAAATCCACAGCAAAAACCTGGGAGAAACGGTATAATCCCCTTTAAGTACACATGCGTAGCTCTTCCCATGGGCTTCAAATGGGAATCAAGCCATTTTGTATATAATGACTGTGGAATATAACTGGAGCATAAAGGGAACTGAAATACTGAACTGCAGAGAAAAGTCTAAATAGATGAGTTTTGGGGGGGGGGGGGGGGGTTATATTGGGCTCCTTCAGTTAAAGGGATAGTTCACTTTGAAATAAATATTTGATATGTTTTAGCTTACCTCAAGGGCCGCAGTTTCCAAGTTTCCACAGTTTTTTCAATTTTGATATTTTTAGGTCAAACCGTTCTTGTCTATCAGTCATATAATGGAGGTCTATGGGGGTCTATAAATTAAACATCATTTAGTGACTCGTAAATGTAAGTACACATTGATTGCCTAAGACGCAAGTGATCTGAGGGTGAGGGCACTTCGGTCTGCGCAAGCACGCTGGCAAGAGATCACTTGTCCCTGTGCCTTCAGATCACTTGGACGTGGCTGTGAATACAAGAGGTAAAAACGATATAAATATTGTTCGTTTTCTCAAGCAAAGCACTCATTTCGTGTCTTAGGCCATCAATGTGTACTTACATTTAAGAGTCATTCAATCACGTTTAATCTGGACTTCTCTGTTCATGCTCTTTGAGGTGGACCCCATAGACCTGCATTATATGACTGACAGACAAGAACGGTTTGACCTAAAAATATCAAAATTGAAAATACTGCGGAAACAAAGACACCTACATCTTGGATGGCCTTGAGGTAAGCTAAAACATATCAAAAATTATTTCAAAATGAACTATCCCTTTAATGATAAATTTTAATGGGAATTATGTACATAAATGCAAGGATATTTTTGATATGTAGGTTCCAAATGAGAATCCCTTATATAAATAATTCCCAAAGAATGTATTCTGCAGTTTTAGCTTTGTTTTATGCATTTAAAATGTATATATTAAATTATGAACAATCAACATTATGCGATTACAATTACACCTCGTTTGGAGTTTGAAAAACTTAAATAAAATTAGTTTTTTAGAGACCATGAACATTCCTTTTGCTTTTGACTGTTAATGTTTCTCTGTCTGGTCCTTCCATCCTGAATAAATAAACACGATAATTCCCGAAAGTGTAGAGAACGGGTTTTTTTTTATAGATTTACAATTTAAAGGAATATTCCAAATTACAAATCATGGTTGTTGTCTTTCTAGTTCTTATTTCTTGTGACTGATGTTTGGGTCTCATACGTTTCCTCTTAAGCTGTAATCCCACACACACATCTCTGAAAAAGTAGTGCTTTGCTAGAAGTAACGGAGTTGTGCCAAATACCATGGTTGCATTCTCTTAAAAGGCTCTTAAATGCTAATGCGAATGGCCCTTTTATGTAGACACATTCCAAGCCACGGGACGGTGACAATTTACGGCAACAGACGCAGAACATATCAGAGATCTTCTGTCCGGTGACACAAGGAAAAAATCCTGTGAGTTCTTGCACATGCTGGCAAATCTATTAAAGTCGGTGGAAAATCTCACTCACGTTGCATTTCGTGATTTCACTCTGAATGCCTTCTTGTTCATCTCATGTGGTTGTATTTACCGCTGAGTGGAAGTTGCATCAAGCTTTCTTAAAAAAAATTTTTTTTTCCTGTGTAAAATCACTTAAGACTATTCTCTACAGTGATTCTCACAAAGACTCTTAACCCAATCCCTATTGGAAATATTGCCTTTCCACACATTGTTTTAACATATTTCTTGGTATCTGTAAAAATCTCAATATTCTTCTTTCCAAGAAAAAACATTGTTCTTTGTAAGCTCTAGTTATGAATCTTGTAGGCCAAATCAAATCCATTGAAATCTTGCATTAATCACTGCAACTCTCCAGGTATATTTTCAGGAGCAGCACTGAGACCTTCAGCCCTGGAAACTTGGTGGCAACCCATTCTTGAGAGAGACATCAAGCAGGCGAAAGGAGTCCACGTGTACGCATCTGTTCTCTCTGATGCTGCCAACAACTCAGGTGGCTGCCAGACTTGCTGTGCCTTCTTTCACCCTTCTCGTTCTTTTTAGTATGTGTTTAATGGTTAAATCATGATTCATCAAATTAAATCTGCTGTTCTTCAATATTGCCTTTTCAGGTTTTGTTCTGCCATTGCTAATGAGCTGAAACTGTTTCTTAATGTTCTGGAAGTGTAGTTTGGTGAGGAAAAAACAGATCCACAACTGTTAAAACAAAGACAAATATTTATGCTGATGAAATTCAGTAATAACCAGTACTTGAATAATGTCCGTATACTTGAATATAATTATTCAGCCTTTTTTACTCTTTGCTGAGTCCCAGAGGTTTTTTGAGGCATGTCCGTGCAATATTTTACTTTTTTGTTTTTTAATGTGAGATGAATGTAATTATTTTTTCTGAAAATGTTTGTGCTGTTGAGTAGAGACTGAAGGCAACACCGTGGGTGGTGCGACCACATGCACACACGCACAATATTTTTTGGATGTAAGTTTGGTCCACGCTACCCTGTGGAGACCGGGGCCATTGCTCTTTTCCTGATCATCGTTCATCTTTTGTCTCATATGTGAATGATCAGTTATGTCCATCCAAGCTTGGCATTACATCCGAAGCCAAGAGTCACGCTTTTTCCACTGGCCCATTCCTGCACGCTCTACGGGTGGTGCCATGGTCTATACGCCTTCCCAGAAGTCTGTAGGGGCTCGTGGCTGTGTCTGGTTGTGTTGGTTAAGGCCTGAGGGGTTTTGGATTGGCGGCACCGTTTTCCTGCCAATAACTGTTGCTTGAATGTCGAAAATTCCCACAACAACTGCTGAACTCAATGTTAAGATTCTACACACGTCCTTTAGTTCTTGCTCTGCCTTAATTCATTCTGTATGTTTTCTTTGTTTCTTTTTGTCTTACTATCTGACCATACTGCTATGAAATGATAGCTTAAAGCAATTAATCAGTCATTTTGATCATAATATGAAATGGGTTAACTTTTCTTGTATATATATGGGGGGGGATATGAACAGAATGGATCTATCCATCAGTGACATTATGGTATCTGCCTCCATCTGGTGGATAGTCTTGCCAGAGAAGACCAGAAGAGGGAGATGAAGATCCTCTTGTGGTCTTTTTTTTTATATATATATAAATATAAAAAGAGGGCTCTTGGCCCTCTTTTTGTTATAATCAAATTCATTTAACTTTGTTTTGAATTTGTCCTGAATACTGTCTTAAATAGATGTGGCAAAAATGCAAAACACACGTAAAACAATTATAACAAGCATTTTTCTTTTGCATTATTATTAAAACAAATCATGGAAAGGAGCTACACATATGACGTTAGTAGCTCAAACGACGTTGCTCTATATATGACATTTTTTACATTAAAATTCATTTAAAAAAATGTAACCTTTTACATTTTGCTTATATTTTTTGAAGGGAGGTAGCAGGCGATTAATCACACGCAGATGACGCTTATGTTTTTCCGATTTTATTTACAAACAAGATATCTCCGGGGTATTTTAATTTTCCAAAATATTCTCAGAAAACTGACTTGCAAGTGCTCATACATGCGGTTTGTTTGCACAATTGGGTTCTGAAGTCGAGTGAAAAAAAAAGAGATAGAGTCGCAATTTACAGAATAGGCCTATTAATACCTATATTTACGGGGGTAGGCCTACAGGGCTGTGCAGTCAATGCTTGAAAATGATTGGTGGTCGGTGTTTTGATGGTTGCAATTATATAAAAAATATATTACACGTTCAAACTAAGGAAACACGTTGAAAATTACCGCGTTTGACACAACCTCAGACACATCACGCGTTTGTGTTACAAACGGTGTTACATATTGTTCCCATTCGCTTCTCGAATGAGTAATTTTTTCCACTAAATACAACACAAGGGATTTGGAAACAACAACAACAAATAATAATGGTTTCAGAAGGTCCCTGCGTTTGTATGGTAACGTATATCTTAATACTCAAATTTAGCTTTCTAATAAACCTGGCATTGTGCACTCTCATTGGCTGGCAAATTGCTAAATTGCTTTTGTCCCTCTATTTGTAAGCGTCTTTCTGAACAGTAAAGTGACTTGGTCGAAAGTTACGCCTAGCCTATAGGTTCATTGATGCCATATTGTAACACATTGTTCTTGTGGTTTGGGTGTCAAATACAGTTTAAATGGGATAAAACCGTGTTAGATTTTTTACAGCTGGTTGGGAGTCAGTCCATTTAGTTTCCAGAGAACCATTTAAAATGTCTTTTGGATGGTAACGTGGCTTAGAAGACAATTGAGTGGGTGGTCATGAAAGTTTTAATTTGTTTTCATAAGCACTTAAAAAAGAACAAGCAACTCATGAACAAATTGAAAATCATTGTGCACACTCACACCATTATAAAACATATATACTGCATAAACCTAAATATATGCAGTGCACACTCATGTAATTCCAATGAAAGTTCTGGAACTATGAAAGAAAATTCATGATGCAGCAGTACATGCAGGAAGTGTGTGTGTGTGACAGGGTATCTTCACCTGACCACTTGGCTTATTTATGAGTGAGGACATCCTGTGATTCTTCTGCCTTCTGCTTTATTTGTTCAGTTCATAAACACACGTTTTTCAATGCTTTTGGGAATTGACCAGCTTCTTCCCAGCCTTCTACTGTGTTCAACTGAACAATTAACCATAAATTATTCAGCAAAAAGTTGTCATTTTGTATTCAGAATCGTAAATGTTTTGCACCAATGCCAAAATCATGGTGCTTCTCTCTTCTTTATGAGATCAAGATTTCATGCTGCAAAAATCATGTTTGTTTCTGGCATTTTCTGGGTTTCCAGTAAAAATATGTAGACATCTTTCAAATTAATTCATTTACTTCAAAGTTATGAATGTGCATTTCTTGAACTAATTTTATTTTTATTTCCTAAATGTTTTTTTTCCTCTCTTTTTTTAATCATACGCCTCACTATATATTTAGCTAGATTATGTTAAAAAAAAATATTCTTAAAACAAGAATAAAATACTTATGACAAACATTAAACCATTCAAAATAAACTTAAGTATATATTAAGTCCAACACATCCTCAAAGAACTGCATAAATAGGCTATTGATGCAGATGCTTTGTAACCTAGAAATTAGGAGAGTATAAAGATTAAGAATGAGTAGATA